TTCCCTTCCTACAGACTTTTTTCTCACACTTTTGTTCTTTCTGTCCTATATTCTTTGTCTTAAGAAGTAAGACCAAGACTAGGGTGAGGGAAGAGGGGCTGGGTCATGCAAGATCAGGATTGGATCCTGTCTTAATTTAAAATTGTGGTACTTTCTTTATTAGTGATGAATTCATTAATTTTTATTTTTAAAATATTGTTTTGTTATTATTGTTTTTTGGCACTGCGGATTATGTGCATGAGATAAATGACTTACTCAATGTTACCATTTCCAGATTTGCTAGGTAAATTATCTGCATTTCTGGTCATTTAGTACTAGAGAGAGAATATATTTCAATATTGAGAAAATGGATGATATTTTATTGTTAGAATAGTCTAAACTGAAATGCAATCAACTATTACAAAATCATTAATATTTTCTTCTAAATAATGATAGAAAAATGATTTTTATCTGGCAAATATATGTGAATATGCCATGAAATTTTTCTTATACAAGGAACCTCTTGCTTTTTTTTTGAAACATGCACCTTGCAATTTTTCTCCCTTTAAAAATAATACAATAAAATTTATAAAAGAATAAATGAAGTTTCTTACTTACATACATTAACTATATTATATATTTTATATGTGGTCTAAGACTGTTCATTTCATTTTGAAAGTGCAGGGAAAAAAATAAGGGAGGCTAATGGTCAGAATGAAATTATTAATTGCCCTTAGGAAGAAAGGAATATGGCCTTTAGTTCAAAACTCCAAAATGGGAAAAAGAAGAATATGAGATCTCTGGTGGGATTTGTTCCTAAATCCTTCATATATTAAGCAAGATTATTTAAGCTTTTTTGTTTCTTTTAAAGGCAGGGGTTCTCTTCATGATCAACTTAATCATTTGACTGTTTTTAAAAACAGACACCTTTTGTAAAGAAGAAAAGAATTAAAATTGCTGAAGAAAGTCACTCTCTTCAAATGATAATAGCAGGTATATATGACCTTGAATATGGCTACAAATCTTTTAAAGAAAATCTTTAGTCTATTTTTAGAAAAAAAATATTGAACAAAATTATAGAGCTGAGCTACATTTGGTACTGCAGCTAATCACACTTCCTTAAAATTTTGACCATTTCTTTCAGGACTCACAATAACTCAGCATCCAATTATCCTATAAGTACCACATTTCCTTCTCATGGTGTAGCACAAGTAATTTTTAAATCACGCATAGCATGTAATAAAACTTCACTACGTATATTGTATATAAACAAAATCACATTTGAGGTCCATTGGCACAAGTTCTAGAAGGCTAGAAATAAAATGGACAGAAATATTGTTTATACAGCTCAATGTTTAAATAATGCAAGTGAGGTCCACAGCAGCAAGCATAGTATAATTATGAAACATAAAAACCTAAAATGAAAAAAGAATGCATTGGTATTTAAAAAAATACTGAAAGATAATAGATATGATTTATACTTTAATGTATAAATAATTCAGGTTTTGAAATAATAAATGTCAAAGTTTAAATTCATCATATTGTTTAAATTGTCCAAGTCTTATAGGAATTATTGGAATAACTTGACTCTGTACTTGCAGTATGCTGAAAATACTATGCTTATTTAAGCTAAATTGGAAAACAACCATCTTTTAAAAGTGGATCAGTGTGCATCAGGGAATCATTTCTTTATGGAGAGGTGACAGAGACCTGGAGACCAGCTTTGTATTTGATAAAGAGAATCTGTTGCCAAGCCTACTATTTAGCCTCATTGTTTCCAGGAATGCTCCACTATCTATCCTCATTATGATAAAAATCCATCTCAGGCTTTTATATCTGATTCAAAACCCACTTGGGTAGGGAGTTTCTACTACTGCCCATAGTCTTTGAGCAGCCCAAATGCTACAAAAAATTAGGTTTGTATATGTAAATGACAGGGCAATTATATCTCTTTCTCATATTCAATAACCCAGAAATGGCTGTGATTTGAAATTGGACAACATGTGCATAGAAGGAGGTACAGAGCAAAAAAAAAAAAAATGAATTCAAATTTTACTATATAGAAGAGCTAAGAAAAAGGAAAAGTTGGGAAATCCACATTCCACTTAACTTTCTTGAATTCTATAATGATAAGATATCTATAATTAATTTTATGATGATTCTCATGGATAAGCTTCCTTGGAAATCATATGATGTAATGATAGAAAAACAGAGGCAAATCTGTACTCGTTAATAAAAGAAAACATTTGATTAGAGTACATTGATAAAATATGCATTGCTTGAGTTTATTTTCTGTTGAATTTATTAATAATCTTTATATA